CAAGGTCACTCCCAACCTCCAAGGTCTATTCTTTTTAGACCAACAACTACCACCACCAAAGGCACTAGGCTTAGGCCTGTGACTAACTTCCAACAAAAAGCGGGGTGGACTGGGAGCCAGGATTACCCAAGACCACTGCTGGGAGGAGCTCTCTTTCCCTTTTTAACATCTGTGGGTTCTTTTTTTTCCTCTCTCCCTTTTGCGTGTGTTGCATAGAAACAGAAAGTGCCTTTGTACCAATTACTAGGCATTAATTTACGCTCCTCCGTGGGCGCTGGGCTTTCTGGAGAAACACTATGGCAGGGTGGGAGGGTGATGTGGGGGAGGTTTCTAGCTGTAAGCTAGCTCCCCCAACCCTGAGAATAGATAAGGCAAGAAAGAGAGAAAATAAAAACCAGACTAAGAAACACAACAAGCCTGGGTGTTGTTTTTCAATACCAACAATGCTAATGATCGGAAGGCATCCAGAAACCAAGCTGATGGGCTGGGAAGCAGGCTCCCAGCAGAGCTACAGTCCTGTGGTTTTAGGGCCTGCTGAAAGAGCACGAGAAATCATCTGCCTGTTTTTTTCCTCTCAATGAACTTATTAGGGAAGATCGTTGTCAGCCACTTTCCCAGTATGCCCTATGATGTTTCTCCCTGGGAAGTTCACTTAGGGAGTTTCCCACAGATGCTGCAGAATGACTGACTGGGTTTTTGGGCTAAGCATCAACAACTGAGACAGGGATGGGGTCCAACAGTCCACCGTTCCCTCCCATTATAGCACTGTGTCTGAAGGCAATGGGATGCTATCATCTAGAGGGCTCTGCTTCCTCCAGTACTTCCCTTCTGTTATAGCACTGTATCTGAAGGCAATGGGATGCTACCATCCACAGGGCTCTGCTTCCTCCAGTGCCTCCCTCCTCCAACCCTGGGCCCACTCACACTCCGCTGAGAGGGAAACCAGGGAAACAACAACCACGTGCTTTGTAATTGTACCCCATTTGTATCTCATGCTGTGAAGCAGGGATCCTTGCCAGCTTCTGAAGCTCCCAAGGCCACCCTGCTTTGTCAGTGCTAGGGCAGAGAGATGGGGCAACTAAGAGATAAAGGGGGGCTCCTTCTCTTCCAGACTAGGAACAAACAAGAGCCACCAGGGTGGGTTCTCCATCTCGAAGGGAGATTTCTGCTGGGCCAAATAATCCAAAGACTCAAGAAGTATACCTTGTCTGCAATTCACAAGCAAACCCATAAGAACCCAACAAACTCAGTGACCTATCTTTTCAACGGGAAGCTATATGTAGCTCTGCACTCACCTCTCTATAATTCATTGATATTTCTCCACACAGGGCACTTGAAAATGGATCTAGACATTCCCACTGGAGAGGGTGGGTGGGTTAACATCTTCCCCAGGTGTGCAAAAATTGGTTCTTTGAAAGATGGAAACAATCTTAGGTATGTATTAGAATGATCTGTGGCCTTCTATAGGGGCACAATCCCTAAGTAGCTCTAGAAGTCCTGCTCTCAGGGTTAAGACACCGTAGAGTATAGGGTGGGCATTTGTAGAAACATCATCTCAAGTCTCTTTAGGAGACATAGAATGGGAAAACAGTGGAGAAATAGTTCCATAGGCAAGTCACCCCTCCCCACTCAGCCGGGTTTAGCTGGAAACGCATCTGGGAGGAAGGATGCAGTTTATGAAATCTATTCCGTTAACACTGTGGCAAAGAGTACACCCCCTCAAGGACCAGAACACAGGGTTGGTTTCCTTGTACTCATAAAAAGTGATCAAAAGGACCAGGTGACAACACTTCAGCCACTAAGACCTGGAAGTCTAGGGCTTGGGGTCAGCTGGCTCTGGTCCTGAAATCTAGACTTCCTGGGCTTTCGTTTGGGTGGCAAGAATTGAATCCAGGGCCTTGGGCATGCCACTGAGCACCTGTAGCCCCTCTAAGTGGCGTCATATCTCACTTCTTCGTTTGAGACAGGGTCTCACTATATAACCCTGGCAGGCCTGTAGTAGCTTGCTATGTAGACTAGGTTGGCCTTGAACTCAGAGAGATCCATCTGCGTCTGCCTCCCGAGTGCTAGGATTAAAGGCATGTGCTACATCGGCCATATCACATATCTAACAACACTAGACTCTGCTTGGACAGTGACTCCAAAGCCACAGAGAATAGTGACAGAAGCTGACTACCTTGGAAGGTAACTCGTCCACCCAAATTAGAATTGCCCAGAATGGATAGTCCTGGGGGCGCGGGGAGGGCAGCGGGGGACTCAAAGATTCTATTCCAAAACTGAAGGATGAAGGATGCTAGGCCAGTCCCTTCTGCCAGACACTCTGAGAATCCAAAGAAAAAGTATAAGTCTGGTGTACATGCCTTCAGGTATTTAGGGCTGAGGATGGGGGAAGCTTCTCAAATTCAAGTTCAGCTTAGCTCTATGGCGAGGCACTGTCTCCAAAAACCAAAAATAAAAAGAAATAAATGAGGTCCACCTGATAAAAAGTAGTTCAAACCAATTGTTGCTAGGCAAGGATCCGGGTCCATTATTTGCCAGATCTTTCCAGAAAAGCTAGACATCTGGACTCATGCCAGAATCCTGATTTTTAGATGCTGGTAACTAATGAAATTTTTATAAACTCTGTGCTGTCCACGGCAAACAAATCTGCAAAGCAAATTCTGCAGCAGGGCTCCAGTTTGCAAACCCCAAATTACAAAGACCTGCTGTAGGGTCTCAGGAAAACAGAGAGGTAAAGCCGGGAGCCTAGCTCAGTCACCTGCACTGTGTCCTTCCTCGGGACATCATGGAAGGCGCTCCATGAATTACAGAAAAAAAAAATTGAAATGATTCAACTTCTAAAGCTGCCAGTTTATGGAAGCAGAGCTGTACCAGACTCTATAAGGAAGTGAGGGAACAGGAGCGATTCTCCAGGGACTGTGTGGAGCAGTGCTAAGCACGGGGGTGTGGCAGGACTTCAGCTCTTAAGATCCAAGGCTGTCTCCAAGCACCTTCTGGATTTAAGAGCCGTCAGAGAGAAAATCAGGAAGCTGCTTGCCCCACCCAACCATGATCTAAAGCTGTCTGAGAAGGAAGCGCCCAAAACTCAACTTGGCACGTACCTCCTCACCAAAACACTTTGGGCATTATCTGTAGAGGCTGATGATGTTGTCCACACTAGCAGTACCGAGTCCCATACTCCCCAACCCCAAGCCCCCCAAAAAGAAATAAGACCCCTGAAATCACCACACCACTAGAGCTAAAGGAATGACTGTAGCATTTTAAAATGGGAAGAACATTTACTTCATTTCCTTTTCCACTGTGATCTGTGTGAAAGGGTCTCCTGAAACAGCTGAGCTGACGTGCCTTATGGAGAATTAAAGAGCAGCACGCATGCACGCACACATGAGCAGCCATTTCTAGAAATGCCCGAGAAAAGCACTCAGCCGAAATGGCCCAGAATGCTGGGTATCTTCTGCTGAGCCCCAGAAGGCACTGCGGGCCTCCCAACCTGCACCATTCACTGGACAGCCCTCCTGAAGGAGAAAATGCCTTTCCTCAAGGTGGCAGTGGGTGTCCATCTGAGCCACTGAATCCTGGGAACATGGCTGACATGTCCAGGCCCGCCCAACAGCTGTGGAGAGGAACACGCTGAGTTAATATACCACTGTTCACCCCCAAGAGCCCTACTAAAGGTCACACCCCCCACTGAGGGTACAGGCCTGTCGGACTGCTTTATAGATACAGACTTACGAAGGTTCTGTTTCATATGGCAACCTAGACGTGGATCCCAAACAGCACCTAGTTTTTCATTATCACTAGGAAATTTAAGATTTATTCTGGTGCTGGCAGCCGCCTCCAAGAGACTCGCTTTCCAAAGGATATAAGGAGGAGAGGTGGCTACATTGTCTTTTCAAAAGCAAACAAAACCAAAAATCCCAACCAGTATCATTTTGAAACCAAAGGTTCAGGACCTCTTCTACAAAATACCAAACCGGCACACCAAACCCCTCAACACCTTTGTACACAATGCCAACCACCTCTGAAACACGCTGTCTCAGGACAAGGTAAGGCCCATTGCCTGATCATAATAACAGTTTCAAACGACCCTTCCCTAGCTGATCACAACGCTTGTCCAGTTATGAACGCTTTTCACCTTTTCCTATGCATGTTTAACTAGAACCACCAGAACTGGCTGACCAGGGTCCTACTAAGCCCCTGAAGCTCATTCCATACAGCAGAGAGCTTTACAGCCACATTGGTGAGCTGCTTGGCCTACAGCTAACAGAAACGCCCCCACATTCATCCCAGAGGCCTTGAACTCCAGCAAAGACCACACCTCTCTCCTTAGGCTTCAGGCGTGAGACCAAATAAGTCACAAGGGAACAGATCAGCACTGAATCACGTTCCTTAGGAAAGCTAACTAGTCAAGAAGTTAATCCACCATCCATTCCTTCATCAGTCTCCCCTGCAGCCTGAAGCAGTTTTATTTTAAACCTCTCAGGGGACTCTTAGCCAAATTTAAAACCACCTTGGCAAGCCCTGAAAAGTAGCCCGCCATCCAGCTAAATGAGTCCTTAGTCATCCCTAAAAGGATTCACGGAGAGCGCGGCTTCTGCCTCCCCCACCCCACACCGCCCCCCATGCCGACCCCTCCGCTGCAACCACACCAGGGAAAGGAATAAAAGCTGCGCCATCTGACTGCCCTGCGGCCAGCGTCTCCCCAGGTGGGGCGGCCCCGCAGCAGCAGGGTACGGAGTCCCGGGGGCGGGGCGGGTAAGGGAGGGGCGGGCCGGCTCCAGTCCGAGCCACGCAAGCCACTTGCTTAGCGCTGCAGTTGGGGGGGTTCGGGTGGCTCCTAAAGGTTGGGGCCAAGTAAGGAGGGAGTGCAAGAGTTAAGCAGCATCTCCTCCAAAACGTTTGCAGCCTCTAGGCCGAGTGCGGTGTCCTGGACGCCCAGGAATGCCGGCCGGCCAAAGGTTAGCTAAGCCCAGAGTAGGGGAAGAGGCGACGCCGCTAACCTGTATGCACTCTGTAATGGGCTTTAAGATGGGAGGATTTTCCATAGACTTTCCCACAGCCACTGTAGGGGCACTTGTGCCTCTTTTCGGAGGCGTGTTTCCCCTTCGAAGCCACTCCAGAGTGGAGGAGGGAGAGCGGGCTGGGCGCGCTGCCAGAATCCTGTCTCTCCTCCGGGCTGTGGGAAGGACTCGACCCAGATTCGGTGGTCACGTCGCTGTCGGATCCTATATCCTCATCGGGACTCTCCAGACTGTCGCTGCACACCGAGGGGGTCTGGATGGGTCGGTATTTGTTCAGGTCCAACAAGCTCTTGGCGATGGTGACCAGTGTGCAATAATCCTTCCAGGTGTCCCCCGGGTCACCGTGTTCCTTGGTCACCTCGCGCTCAGGTAGTCGCAGCCGCTCGGCGTCCGGAGCGCCCCCGTGCTCCGGCACGGCGGCGCGGTTGGAGATGGAAACCAGACACTGGGCAGCCACGAAGTCCATGTAGGCGGCCGCGGACATGGTGCGGGCGACGGCAGCCCGGGCGGTGCGGCCAAACTTGACGGTGGCTGCGGAGCTTCGGCTAGCCCTGCCCTGGCCTCGGACGACGAGCGCGGTGCGGCGCACCCGAGGGGGCGGGGGCGCGGGAGCTTGCGACTCGCGGGAGCGCCGAGGCGACCTCAGCCCCTCATCTTTACGTAACCGGCAGCGCCTCCGCACGCAGCAGCCGCGGCCGGCTCCGCCGCTGTCGCCGCCGCCCTGCCCGGCGCCCCGCGCGATCCCACGATGGGCGCGCCCTCCTCCTGAGCCGGTTCCTTGGAGAGACGCCACACGTGGCGGTCGCAAGTTTATTCGACTGCAAACGTGTCCGAGTCACGGGGAAAGCCAACTGCGAGCCAGGCGCACGCCCTCGACCGCCTCTCCGCCGAGCTGACGCCCCGGGGCATCAGCCGAGTACGTGGACGAGGGGGGCCGGGGTTGAGTGGGGCGCCGCGCCTACGAGACACTTCTTCCCGCGTCCGCCGACGGCCGCCGAGCCCCTGGTCCTGCCGCGCCGCGCCTCTCCGGCATTCTCCAGCTCAGTAACAATTTCGCAGAATCCCATCACGTCACAATCCAGGCCCCCTCCAATTGGCCAGTGGGGAGGGTGATTCAACTCTGTTTACTTTCTCCCCCTGCCAGTCAGAAGGGCCCTTCGGTGGAGAGGTGCGTCTAGAACTACGGCGCGCGGCCAATCCGACCGTTCCGTTCCGCCGCCGCGTGCTGCCCCTCCAGCCCCGAACGCTGACATTTAAAAGGGAAACTGCCCGGAGCCCGGCAACCAGCGGCTGCGCATCCCCGCAGATGCCACCCAGACCGCGCGCGCGCCCACGCCTCCCGGCCCACGTGCCAGCTGGCGTGGCTTGGGAACGCATCTCTCCTAGGCAGTTACACCCATCCCTAGGGACGAAACAAAACTTCACCTTCGGGTTCCCAGCCCTCAAACAGTTAAATGACTTCCTGCAAACGGTACAGTCCCAGCAACCAGCCTTCCAATCAAAAGTAAGTTGGTTGATGTCACTGGCATTGGCTCAGCCAATCAGAAGGGCGTTCCAAAAGGAAGCGCTCGACACTTGTAAACCTGCGGCGCAGTAGTGAGATCAGACGGATCTTTTCATATTGTGTTGCTGATGGTAACCCTAGAATATGGATGGAAAGACGAGGTGCTTAATAAACACAGTGTGAATATATTAAACAAACCCTCGATATGTCAGGCCACGTTGTCCAAGGACAAACTCGGATGAGACAGTATCAATTCGTTCTTGTTTGGAATGCAGCACTTTGGAGATGTTTAAAAGTTCTTTCACCCTACACATTAACCGAGAGAAATTCATCCAAAAAATTTCACAGCTAGCAAAAGATCTGTTTCCGTTTTCAATGGTCCTTACACAGAAACACCACCATCTTGGTAATTTGCTAAACCTCACGGTTCCTACTTCCTTGGGTGCCATTTACTTTAAGTTAACTCTGTTTTGAAGCCATAAACGGAGACCATTAAAACCTCTCATTTGCATAACTTTAAAAAAATCCTTTTCTTTTTAGGGGCTCCTCCCAATTCCTGCAGGGCACATTTCCTTCCTCTTGCTTCACAATTGTGGAGAAAAAGACTTGTCTATCTTATCAGGTAGACAGTGGCAGAACTCGAAACTGCAGGGTTCCTGATTCCTGACTCTGCTTTAGAAGAACCACCTCTGTGAAATATTAACTGTGTTAAATAGTCTTAAGAACTGGAATCAGCCAGAGATCCTTAACAACTGAATCTTGTGGCATTACTTGGTCAACAATTAGTGTGGGTTTGGGAGTCTGATTAACTCAGTGTGCTTCTTCCTGTGATGAATACTGGGATTGTTTTCCATCTTGATAGCTGAGCAAAGAATCTACAGCAGGGGCATACAGTCAACACTGCTGATTAAAAATCCATCCATTTATTCTGAGTATGAAAGGCTCTTTCTTGTTTCTGTGAGACACTAACACCCCGATTCTCACGAGTGGTTAATCCTTAATGTTTCGGATACTTCTACAAGGTTCTTTGGGAATCTCAGAAGGACCCTTCCAGTTTCAAGGTTAGGGTAAATTATTTTGACTTTTAAAGTTATTCAGGAAAGACACCACACAAGGTCATTTCCTGGGAAAAGAGCATGTAGACAGGAAGTGGAGAAATATCACCGCCACCACATCACATCACGAGAGCGCCAGAGAACACTCTTTGTGCCAGGCCCAGACCCAAAGACCCTTTATAACATCCATCCATCCATCCGAGATGTGTGTGTGTGTGTGTGTGTGTGTGTGTGTGTGTGTAATAGTGTGTAACAGAGAAGCCATCTTGGAAGTTTTGCATTCTAATAACCTTAATTTCAGAAAATAATTCACTGGAGCTCACCATGATGGTGCAGACCGGAAGTCCTGGCACTCAGGAGGCTGAAGCAGGATGGAACATTTGAGGCATTTGAGGAGGCTACAGAGTGAGATCCTGTCTCAAAAGGGGAGGGGGGGATGAAGGAAGAAAGAAAAGGAGGAAAGAGAAGGATTGGTTCTGCCTAATTTGCTATCTTTTTTTTTTTTCCTAGAATAAAGTCTGTCCTTAAAATACATGAGTCTTGCCGGGTAGTGGTGGCGCACGCCTTTAATCCCAGCACTTGGGAGGCAGAGGCAGGCGGATTTCTGAGTTCGAGAGTTCGAGGCTAGCCTGATTTTTGAAACCCTGTCTCAAAAAAAAAAAAAAAGAGTCTTAAAATTTGCACGTCCACCTGCCTTCCTAGAGCACAGCACAGATAACCAGAGGGATCAGTCTGAGAGCCCCATGATCAAGGCCTACACAGCCTCCCAGACTTACATTTCCACTGGCATTAGTTACACTCATGAAGTCTCCTCAGGTCTAGGTCTGAGTAGCTATCAAAGATTAACACCAGGAGGAGAAGGAGCCTGTATCTTCCCTTGAAGATTATGATTCTGAATTTGAAGACAGTAATGTCAGGGTTTTTTAAATGTAAACTTTAACGTCCCTTACTTCTTGCTGCCTTCTTTCTAGTGCCCTTTAATTTCACATGATCCTGACTGCGCTCTCAACACTCTTGATTCAGTTATAAAGAAGATCATGAAAGCAGATTTCAACCGTGTGAATGTCTCTTATGGATTTGCAAGCACAATTGCTACTTGCTTTAGAGAATCACTTCAAATTCCTTCAAATTCGGCAATTCTAGCATTGCACGTCATCCTCCCCTTCTCCAACCATTCATTCTCAGATATTTACATTCTTGCTAATGAACTAGGTGTGAGGGGATACAGAAATACAAAGGGAGTCTGTCCTCTGTAAGAGGAGAGCTACATGTCCGTGTTAAGAATCATACGATGTGTTTGATAGCACAGAGCACAAGAAGTGGTATTTCCTACATCATGATTTTTTTTCCTTGTATTTTAAACAATATTTTCTTTGCTGTATTGGAATGTACTATAATAATTTCATGACTAAAACCAGCTTATGCTATTTAGCCAGCATGTGGTTGTCTCAATTAAATTTTGGCAAAATATCTTGTTAATATTATGCCGTATAAATCTAAGAGGTCTGCTTTCCCAAGTTAGTCTTTATACATTTCTACTCCAAATACCCTCCCCACTCAGAGGAACAAGAGAACCCAAAGATTGTAACTGTTTCTAGTACATGTTATTTTCCTTTCTACAATCTCCTATGCCTAGGCTCTATTTTCCAAGTTCCCGTGGCTATGGCTTATTAGCCTGTAGCCGGAACAGTGAGCTTTATTTACAATGCTTCCTAATATAATTAACATTATGTGATCTAGTACAAGGTAGTACCTGAAGGCTATAGGCCTAAAATGAGATCCGTGACCTCATCCCACCTCTCTGAGCCATTTTCTTATCTGAGGACTGATAGGATTAGATTAACACAGTTGCAGCCTCTTTAAAACTCCCAGGATGCAGGGGTCTGTAAAAATTCCTAGAGGACAGGATGGGCTGTGGAATGGTACACCTGTAATACCTGAAAACACAGTACTGGGGGGAAGAGGAGAGGAGTATGTGAGACTCTGGCTCAAACAGATTTGGAGGACGACGGGGAGCACTAGAGTAAGATTTGCTCTCTCCGAACACTGCCTTATCCGCTTGCACCACCTTACAGTGAATGTTTGGGAACTTAAAGCCAGTACTTAACGAGAACTCATTTTTTCCCCTAAAAATTATTTTTAAAAAACAGGGCCTAGGCTAGCCTCCAACTCTAGATTTTCCTGCCTCCACCTCCCAAAAGCTAAAGTTAATATACCTTTTTTCCCCTAATTCATAATCTCACCTCTATCCCGCTTCTTACACTGCTCTGTAGGAAGTGGCCTAGAAGCTTAGAATCTGTTCTTTTTCCTAGGTAAGCACAATACGGTGTTTCCAGGCTAACTGTCGATGCTAGGGCCCCTCCCTTGGAGACATATTTAGACTAAGCCCGAAGCAGGGCTTCCCCATCTTGTTGGGTGAGGCTAATCGCCTGGCACTTAGTTTAAAACACAGATGGCCAAGTATGGTCCCTGCTCTAGGCCCAAAGTTCAGCCTAAAGTCACATGCTGTAGATAGAGGTTTCCGCCGATTCTGGCTTTTCTCAGTCTTTTCCTGCTGAGAGGCGTGGACCGTGCCTGGACAAAGTTGCCAGCCTCCCGGCGGGAAGGAAAAAGAACAGATGGCCCGCTGGGGGTAGGGGATCACGTGTCAGACCTCACATTGGGATGGATCCTCACCTCTCTCTTTCCCGGCCTGGACTCAGCAGCTTTAGCGATCTCACCCAAAGCACATAAAGGGCCTACTGGGGAAAGCTGTGTTCCTTTTGCTGAAAGGTGGTGAGTTTAGGAAAAATACAGGCAGGAATGAAAGGGTGGGCTCTCCACTGTAGCGATGTCCCTGGATTTGAAACACAATCCGATAAAGCCGGATCTGGCGAACCGATTGTGGCCAGGTTGAGTTAACACCCAGTGTCTGGAGGGGGCGGGGAGCTCCCGCAAGCGCGAAAACT